CGCGCCCAGCGGCCGGGCGGGGTCTCCCTCTCCACGGGAGCGTCTCCCCTCGGGTTTCGTGTTTCCGAACCTCACTCCTTGCCGCGAAGAACGTGGCTCCTTAACAAAGGGCTTGAGCGGCGTCTTGTCCGCTTCTCTGTACGCTCTGGGTGACCAGACCCTGGGGGAATGCTTCCTGTTCTATAACCCCCTACAGCGATTGACAGTGAACGTGTGAAAGCCAGTTCCTTGCCCTCCGCACAGCATCCCTTCTCTGGCACTGGGCATCTCTTCTTGGAAATTTAACATCATCTGTAATGGTAACTCTGAGGTGGTTTGTTTTTTGTTTTTTTTAAAGAGTGAGGGCGGCATCTATGTTTATCTGCAAGATCGACCTCCGAGATCTGTGACGCCACTTGCTTGGAGGCAAATATTTTGATTTAATGAGAATGTAGCTGATAGGGAATTGTTTGTTTTGAGCGGTCCTCGGCCTTTTCCAGGGTAATATTTAACCAGCAGAGTCAGAGAACAGGTTTGTATTTTAAAGATGGAGGGAGAAAAATAAAGGAAAGAAATATTTTTTTTGGTCTTAAAGCTGATCCAGATTCCGGTATGATTTTAGCTTGGTGAATGATGTGCTCTCCTTATCTGTTTCTTTGTTTACAAAGAACTGGATTTACTGTGGCCTGGGGAGATGTAGATGAAGAATGTTTTCTTTGAATGTAGCGCTCCTATTCTCTCTGTCAGGATTGCCACAAAGAATGGAAGCTTTCAGGACTGTCCTTGCATAACTGTGCTTTTCCTTTCCTTAGGAACTTTTAGGGAAAATTGTCTCTGCTGGTCAAGTACAGAAAATACCCAAAAAAACCTCTTCAGCGAGTAGCAAGTTAAATGAGCTCTCATCTTACAGCATATACCACAGGCTAATGCTAATTCGTAGTTGGTGTTTCATCTGACCTGCCATCAAAAGCAGAGTTCCACTCATAAAACTATGAGTAGCAAGTCCCTGCTCTTGCATGTATTTTACTGATCAACAATGTAAAAGAGAGAAGTAACTGAGCTCCTATTTACAGATTACTGCTGGGAACTTCTCTGTCTGCCAACTGGAAATAGGAGCAAGCTCTTAATTTTGGTGGTATTGGGGTACCTGTTACAAAAAGCAACAGGGATGACATTAATTTTCTGAAGGACACACAAAAGAAAAATGTCACTTGTTTCTGCAGGTGCTGGCCAGAACCCCGCGCGGCAGGCGAGCGTTGCTGCGGGAATCCCTTACTCGGTGCCAGCCTGGAGCTGCCAGATGATCTGCGGGTCGGGCTTGAAGGCGGTGTGCCTGGCTGCTCAGTCCATACTGACGGGAGACTCCAGCATCGTGGTGGCGGGAGGCATGGAAAGTATGAGCAAGGTAAAGCAAACGGTTGCGCTCTCGTTGCACTGGCTTGCTGTGAGTAAACAACATAAAGTTATGCTGAAGCCCTGTTTCTAGGCTGACACTCTGGAGGCGGATTGATAGAGTAGCTTTGGTTTCTGCACTTGGGAATGAATTTACCTATGTAGCAATTGACTTCACTACCATTAAAAAAAAAAAAAAGACTTGATACTGTAGATACTGAAAAGGTACTGCGCAAACACACACCACACTTAAAACTGATTTAATTTTCATCTGGCTCTGTCATGGTGAATGGTTTGCTTGTGACAGCTGGCAATAGACAGTTTTCTGCCCTAAGCCCTAAGAAGGAATTATTGTAAATGTTACTATTCACCAAGCAATTTGAGCTTGGAAAGGAAGTGAAGTGCTTTTATTTGAAGGTGTTCATCCCAAGGCTGTACTGAGGAATGGTGCTGAGCCTTAAGAAGGGAGTGGCCTCTTCTGCTGGGGCTTGCTCGCTGCCCGTGCTGAGAGTGATGCTGGGTTTGGCTGGTGGCAGAGTACGATCAGGAACCTCTGAGAGCAGACTCAGTGGGATGGAGGACCCGCAGTTCTGTGGCACCAGGGACGATTGATTTGTGGAGAGAAAGCACAGCTTGGTGATCTTCTGCCCGGGAAATGGATGGGCCAGAGCATACTGGCTGGCAGACTCTGGAGGGAGAGACAGAGACCAGCTGTGGAGACTGCCAGGGTTTGGGGTAGCTGCCTGCAGTCGCGCAGCAGGGTTCTGCCTCTTCTGCTGTCTGGCTGTGTTGTGCGCTAGAGATCTAAACCACCTAACTCCATTCAGAATACTTTCTCGCAGGCTCCTCATGTCATTCACATGCGAGCTGGGGTGAAAATGGGAGAGGCTTCCTTGCAGGACACTATAATCCTTGATGGCCTTACAGATGCTTTTTATCAGTATCATATGGGTATAACAGGTAAGTGGTGATGGTGCAGAAAATGAAATGGTTAACTGGGGAGGGGGAAAGAATTCACTGATAGGAAACGTCAGAAATCTGAAGCTTCAGAGAAGATGTTTCAAGCTGTCATTAAGGTGTGGTCATGAAAAAGGAAAAAATCCCTAATATTGAAAGGCATTGAAGACCTTTTATGCTTTATTTTAAAATTACTGTCTGTCTATTTGGTTTTCCTGTCTGAGCTAATCTCGCTGCATCTCTTTTGCATCAGAGCGATTTGATTTAATTTCAGGAACAAAAAAACCCCAAAATAATCCCTGTACATAACTGAAGTGTTCAGCAGCATGGATTTACAGCAAGCAGGAATTACGTAAAGTGTACTATGGATACATGGGGTTCTGCAGCTTCATGTTATTGCACCCTGCATGGGATAGTCAGCCAAGTGCTTATTCAGACCCTGCTTATGAAACAGGGACTTCAGAACTGTTCGCTCCTCTGAAGTAGCTGTGGAGATCTGAGCATAACGATCTAGAGAGGCAATAAACAAGAAAAGCTTGTTTGCATTTGTATTTGGTGTAACATCTGGGAGGAGATCTTGCACAGAAATTTTCACCCTCTAAAAAAAATATAGAAGAGAATCATGAGCAAACAAAACAAGGAGATTGGAATGAAAACTGTTCGGCAAGCTTAGCTGCTTGCTACAGCAAACATTGACTACCTTTGTGCTTACAATGTTACGGCTTAAAATTTTAGCATTTCCTGATGGCACTTTGCGTTTTGTTCCTATTTCAGCTGAAAATGTGGCCAGTCAATGGCAAGTCAGCAGAGGGGAACAAGACCAACTTGCTGTACAGTCACAAAACAGGGCAGAGGCAGCACAGAAAGCTGGCTATTTTACAAAAGAAATTGTTCCCGTTCTTGTACCTTCTAAAAAAGGTAGGTGTGAATGGATGATGAGAGCTGATTTTAAAGAAGAAAAACGTGTTTTCTGCTATGTCTTCTATAGTCAGCAGATGGTTTCCAAATTACACAGACTTTTCTGTAAACTGTTTTACAAGCATGTAGCTTGTTGCTTTTTCAACTTCCAGTGGTTATTTTTTTAAATATAAAGCAATGTGAATGTGGAATGTCTAAATGGTAGCTCTCTGCAAATACTACTACCATGTTTTATTGGAGATGTAGTTACTATGCAGTCAAACTGCCGACTCAGTATAAGCTTGCATATAGTAATAAAATGAGTATTTTTTCATTTTTTAGACTCCTACTGCACCAAACTTAAAACAGTCACGTTGATCTGGCCAGCCTTGCTCACCTAGTAGAATACACAATGACAATAATTAGGGTTACTAGTTAATTAACTAGGTTAGGTTACGTGTATTAGGTATGCTTCTCTTTGTTTGGGATATAAACAGACCCATTACAGTGCTTGAGCCAAAGGTCTGTTTCCAGAGTGGGGGAATTCCCTGAACTCCTTGTGAGGTGGGTGCAAAACCTGTTTTTTTCCAGACAGAAATCACAAATCAGTTGTTCAACCTTTGCACTGAACAGACCCTGTGGGAAAAGTTCTGGCATTGGTCTGGTTACAAACCAATTAGAGGGGTTTCCTGATACCAGTTTATACAGTAAAATTTAATGACACTTGACTCCTCTTTGCAATGAGATTCCTACAGGTATCATTTGGAAGATATCCTTCTGCTTGAGACGCTGTTGGATTAGGAACAATAAGAACAAGAGTTGCTTTTGTACAACTAGACAGCGTTTTAGTCGTTAGTGTTTGTCTCGGAAAACCCAGCTGCCTGTCCTGCTAGAAGCAGTTGGAGGGTTAGAGCAATGCCTTAAACTGCACCGAGTTGGAAGCTCTCTCTGACATGAGGATGGATTGTTGGTTAAGAGGAGTATGGCACGTATTCCCCATCAGCCTGTTCATGCTGACTGTCTGCCCGAGATGGGTACATGTGTGATCAGACCCCTCCTGTGAGCGTCATACTCTGTTTTGCAGGTCCTATAGAAGTTAAAACGGATGAACACCCTCGGCATGGGAGCAACTTGGAAACCATGACAAAGTTAAAGCCCTGTTTCCTGACAGATGGGACCGGGACAGTAACAGCAGCTAATTCTTCAGGTCAGTCTCTCTGACTAAAAACAAAATGGAAAAAGAGCAGTAGAGGCTTGTGACTCAAGGCAGGGTCTCTGGGAGGGGTTAGGCTGCCATGGGGTTACTGCCAAATGTATTTTGCAGGAAGTGGCACTGGGTTTGACAACATAGGTACAACTCAAATACAACGCTGGTGGAGGATTTCTTTACAGATGAGTTATCTTTTGTTTGCTTGCTTGATGTGAAGCCACACAAGTGTTTAGACAATGACAGCAATATTTGATAGGCCGGAGCAAATAGAAGGGACATCCTCTCTTTTTAAAACAGCTGTCTAGTGGTGTCTAACACTGCAGACCCAGACAAAGGAAAACTTAACAGTTCATGTCTGAGAATGTTACTCCTGTGAGACTGACACTCCTGCTACAGGCAGCTTTGAAACTTCTTTGGTCCTTTTGCTGCCTCTTCTGAAGTCTGCTTTATAAACCTGATGTGCTCTTTTTTTTTTTTTTCAGATTCTGCCTCAATTCTTGTAACTGCTGATTTCCAAATAGAAATCACAAACATGTCACACTTACAGCAGTAACATTACCCATTTTAAACATTTCTGTGAGAGGTCAGTGACTTGGCTGATCTGAACAATACTGACCTAAACCAACAGAAGTTTGGTGATTTTCCTTTTGTCTCAACTGTGAACTTGTGCAAGCAGGAGAAGGTGGTACAAATAAAAGCCGTAAACCCCAAGAAATACATACAAGGGTTTTTTATCATTCCACAGGTATAAATGATGGAGCTGCAGCTGTAGTTCTAATGAAGAAATCGGAAGCTGCTAGGAGAGGTCTCATGCCTTTGGCTCGGATTGTATCTTGGGCTCAGACAGGCATAGATCCCTCTATAATGGGAGTAGGACCCATTTCAGCAATCAAGAAAGCTGTAAGTAATTATTTATCTATCTAATCTATCCATCTAATCCATCTATCAGTTAAAAATTCTTTCTTGTAATCACTTTTCATTTTGTGGCCATGTTCTAGTTTTTCTATATTCTAAGGAAAACTTACTAGAAAAAATAAACTAAGTGAAAACAAGACTTAAAATAGCAGAAAGTGCATAAGATTAAGGTTTCTAGTGCTACACCAGGCTAGGTGAAGATGCAGATCTATGACTGGAGTTCAGAACATGAACTAGTTGTGTTTGTGACAGGCTGCCAAGATAACCTGAGCCTGAAGACCGTATTTCATGGATGTGTATGCTAACTATACAGCTCTTGTAGAACTGATAATGATACATTTGCTTTAATATTCCTTCTTTTGAAGGCCTGACTTTGTTCATCTCTGAATCATCCTGGCAATGTAGAAGCCTAACGAGCTCACCCAAGCTCTGTGGGTGATTTCCCTTTTAACAGGGAAATCTGAACCCTAATGCTCAAGATTTTTCTTGTTAGATCTCAAATTGTTCTTTTAAATCATGAATGCCATAAATGTACACACAACACACAGGTTTAAACTGTAGGACAAGCTGTATTTAACACTACCTGTAATTTTAGAGGTACTGTGAAAAAGGACACACTGCTTCTTAACCTAATCTTTGTAATGTGTGTTACCAAACACTTGGCACCCTCCACATATTATCAGTTTCTCTCTTCTGAATTTCATAGCAGCACTTTAAAGTGAGAGAATGACTAGGCCATGCATTTTAGTGTTACAACACAGACTTTTCCCAGAAGGTGAATGGTTGCCATACTGTCTATATATCTAGTATAAAGAGGCCACCCTCCTTTACTCTAGCCTTGGGGATGCAGCAGTCTGTCTGCCTGGTTGTGAAACCCCATTGCTGTAGGTGGTTTGCCTGGTAAAGCCCTACTTTCAGAAATAGTGAGTGGAAATAAAAAAATACATGTGTGGAACATGCCTAAGCCTGTACCCAAGTGGGCAATTGCACCACAAGAGTTTCTCAAGTAAACACATGAGCCAAACCAACTCCCAAGTTGCCTGGGAAAAGCTTCAAGTGGCAACTTTGAACTGAAACGCAGGAGAGACTGGACAAATTGCGCTTGACACTCGTCATTCAGGATCATTTCACAATTCCCTGTGTAGTAAGTCTGTATTAAGCAGAGAACCTGTAATGGAATCAGACTTAACGTCCTGAAAATCTTGCTTTTAATCTGTTAAAGGCTACACTGAAAACTAGTGCTTGTTCTGTTCAGGGCACCACATACAGTCTGATGCCCACAATTGCACCACCACTACTATGTGTGTAAAATTAGTATTTTTTAAGAGCAACCAGCATGATATAGCACATTGTGCTGACTTTTGCCAACACCAAAATTTTGTCAAGAATTCTGTCATCAGCCCTGGCAATAAAATTTGTTTCAACGAAAAGTGGTGGTTTCACATCACCCCATTTGAGTCTGATGAAAAGCCTCCTCTGGCCTAAAAGATAACAAAGCTTCTATTTATTTTGTTTTCTCAGCTTGACAAAGCCAGCTGGACTCTGGACCAAGTTGACCTGTTCGAAATTAATGAAGCCTTTGCATGTCTGTCTCTTGCAATAGCAAAAGAACTGAAAGTAAATCCTGACAAGGTATGATGTGAGGCCATAATTAAGTTTGCCTCCTGTAACTGAGTTGTTCCAGTGGGTCCATCTGGATGGTGTACTTCACACTGAAACTCAAGGAAGTTAGTTAAACGATTTCTTAACTTGAACTGTATTATTTTGGTGTGTTTTTTTTTTTTCCCCTCCTCCAGATTAACATGCAAGGTGGAGCTATTGCTCTTGGCCACCCTCTTGGAGCCTCTGGCTGTCGCATCCTCGTTACTCTTCTACATGCACTGGAACGAACAGGTGGAAAACGTGGTGTTGCTGCTCTCTGTATAGGAGGCGGCATGGGAATAGCCATGTGTGTTGAGAGATGAATGTAAGTGAAGAGCCAGTGTTAACTACGGTTTAAGAGAGTTTACTAATAAACTTCTAATGATGGAGCTTACCTCTGTTTTGCCTAAAACTAAATGAGCTTAGGCCATTACTTTTTGCCACTCAGTCGCTGCCTTGCCAAGACGATGAGTGGCTACAAACACACTAGAGCTTAAATTCTCCACACAAGGACCAACCGCACTCTTGGGAATTAATTTGTTCACTAGAAAATAGCAGCAGAATTCAACCACTTGTTTTATTAACATTTTAGTTACAAGAGTGGGAAGTGTAAGTTAGACAAACATAAATAAAACCTAAGTTACTCCTCAAGTGCTCCAGAGTGAACTGCATCCTCGTAGCACCCTCTCTCTTCTTTAGTTTCAGGGTGCAGTTTAATGAGATCATCAATTCGAAGAATAGTAATTGCAGCTTCTGTTGCAAACTTCAGACTCTTAGTTTTGACCATGGTTGGTTCAAAGACACCAGCCTGCTTGTTGTCACGAGGTTTTCCGCTGATCAAGTCGAGACCAATCCTGCAAAGAAGAAATATTGTCAGAAGAAGTAGAGAAAGCAGAAATACAGTTGGGAGTGTGCTGCTTAAGTACTACACTGTCCCAGTAATACAGGTGTAGGAGTGAAGGACAGAGAAAAAAGTTCAGTGATAACTCACACCATTTTTTTTTAGATGCAAACCAGCAGAATGATTTCCCATCTAAGCCACCAACCCATTTCCCTTTCAATAGCCCTCCTACAGGCAGGTACTTGCCATTTCAGGTTTTTTCGATCTGGGTTAACTTGAGCCTCATTGTGGAAGGCTCTCAACTTTGCGACGAGATCTGTTGCATCCTGAGCAGCATTTACTGCCAACGTGTTTGGAATTATTAGGAGGGATCTTGCAAACTCTGCTATTGCAAGCTGTTCACGCGATCCCTAGAAAGAAGAAAAAGTTTTAAAACTGACTGCTGCAACAAAGGAGGAAAAGAAATAGCTGTGAACAAAAGTGTCAATAAGTAGTAAGGGTTTTGACATGGAAAGCCTATTTTTAGGTCACAGAATCAATAATAGTCAAATTATCTCCAATTGTCAGAGAAATTGTGTGTTCTATTTTAAAGGAGCTTCTTACATTCTGTAAGATGATTAGGTTTTCAGCAACTACGGTACCAGCTCCTGGTAGACGAAAATAAATGCCTCAAGTCACTGTCTTAGTGTATGTAACACGCACGTGCGAGACTTACCATGCTGGTTGCATAATTTTCAAGATAGATTGAAAGTGCTGCCTCTACAGCACCACCACCTGGAACAACAGACTTGGATTCCAATACCCTTTTAACAACACAGAGGGCATCATGTATAGATCGTTCCATTTCATCGCACATGAAGTCATTAGCTCCTCGTAAAATAATTGATGCTGAAGTACGAGCTTTTGTACTAGGGGAAAAAGGGGATCAGAAGTCAGCAGTGTTAACAGAATGTAAAAGAAAACTCTTCTGGCTGAAATTTTTCTTATAAAGCCAAGCTCACTTGACCCAGATTCTTTCAACTATTAAAAGAAAATCTCAACACTGTTATGCACCCTTGCAGGATATGTACATTGTAACTGAGTAATTCAATGTTTTAGTATCTAATATGCAAGAACCTAGTTTGAGTTTCAGTCCTGCAGAGAAAGCTACCCATCAAAAGCATGACAGACAAGGTATTTTCTCATCAAATAGGGGCAGCATGTAATTAACTGCTAATGAAGTTCACTTTCACACAGCCATCGAGTGACTGCCAACATTACAGTGTCAGCAGTCATGTAACTGCCACTCAAATGCCATAGTCAGAGTACTTCATTCACACACAAATGAGACTAAAGGAAGCCGAGTGCTCAGAAAGGATACCCAAGCACTGGCAAACTTAATATCCAAGATACGTTCTTGTTAAACAAATGATATTCAGGTTTTCAGGTACCAGACAGCAGAGACATACCAACAACTTCAAGGGAAAATATCATGCATGTGGACAGGTAGTAACTGTTCTTCCTACCCATTAAAAAAAAGTACCCTTTTAACAAAACAGCCCATTTCATACTACTGAGTGCAAGTAAAACCTGTCTTCCATCATAAATGACAAGATTTAGCTTGCATCTCCCTACTCAGATGGTACCTATTTTCCTTTGCTGTCTGTAATGAGAAGCCAGTTTAGAAAAAATTGTTAATAAATAAAATTTTAAGTCTACGTAGCAATCTTGTCTCCTGTATTATGACTGATGAAACAGGTGTCCAGCCCCAGCGGAAGTATTTTCACCTCTTAATTTGCAGTCGACTTCTATACTCTTTCTCACATCTAGAACTACTTATACCACTGAGATAGCATGAAAATAAATAAATGGGATAAATAGGATTCTATCTCAAGCTTAGTAGAAAGTGCACACAAAACTGAGTATTTTAAAAAGGATCCTTACTTCTTGATTAAGATGAGCTCATCATCACAGATTCTCTCTTGAATCACCTCCTCTGCCTGTCCCAGCATTAACGCCTCAAAACTCTCCTCACCTTCAAGGTTAGCAAGGGTTGAACATATGGTTGCTTTAAGAAACAAACAAATGAAATTAGCATTCAATTCCAGCACATCCTTTGATGAATTCCCAGAACAGGCATACAGAAAAAAAACAACAAAAAACACACCAAGCCACCAAAACCCCCAGAAATTGGAAACATAAATGAAAGAAGCATAAGTCGATTTTTTTCAAACTCAATTCTAATTCTCAGGTAGCAATTCAATATTCCACAGTTTATAATTGATCCTGTTCTTTCCCACAACTAGTAAAAGCTCCTCTGCTTTACCATAATGAAAATGCTTTCTTGCAAATTTAAGAATTGACGGGTACCAGTATTTTTCTCGGTATGTATTAATGACTTAACAGTTCTAGATTTGTCTTGAACTATCTGACCAATGTAACACAACTCTCCAAGCAGAGGCCTATGCATGTGCGCTTAATAAAGGCTGCAAAATAAAGAGATTCTGGCTCCTATTTCCAAAAGATCACGGTCTTTGAAGTGCAAAGTATTTTTTTTCCCCACTGAAATCTTCAGCAGTTAACTCTTATGGTACTCATCTACTTTGACAGAGCCACTTAAAAGCAATAGTAAAGTTAAAAACTAAGTAAAAACAATGGCTCAACTCTACTCATCCTCTCCTTGCATAACCTGCATATGAAGAAGTTGTATTTTGAAAATTAGTTACTAATACCCTGAACAACACCTTTTACTTAAAAAAAAAAAAGTTTGTATTTATAAATACACACCTCCTGATGCCTTAGCAATTCGCTTAAGGTCCCTTTTTACAACTCGTCGTACTGCCATAGCACCAGCATCAACGAAATATTTCAGACACATATCATCAATAGCTCCAGTGGTGAGAATAACATTGGCACCAGTGGCCAAAATCTTCTGGATCCTCTCTTTGGTAATATCTGACTCTCTGTGAGGATAAAGTCAAAGTTACAGAAAACTTACTCAAAATCTACAATCATATTATGTCAACCCATTTCCTGAAATCTTAACACAGCACTCTTGCAAGGAGAAAGGATCACTGTACACACATACGTGGACTTCCTGAAGATTCTGCCTCCAGAAGTGAAGACTTTTACCATTAATACTTGGCATTGTAAACAGTTAAACATTTTTACCTCTTGCACTCAGCCATAATTACATCGAGCCACCTCAACTGAAGAGACCTAAAGAAGGCTGTGAAGTCCCACTGCCTCAGTTATTCAAGCTTCCACATACCTCTGCCTTATCTGGTCCAGCTTCTCAGGGTCCGAGATAACAACCTGAACACCAAGCTTCATTTTTGCTTTCTGCAGGCTGAAGTCAAGGCATGCAATCTTTGCATTAACTATTCTCTTGGTCATACCTGAGAAAAAACAAGAAGAAAAATGTATTTTGTCAAACTGAATTAACAGAACATCAAGTCAGCACTGGAGATTAACATTATTTTCACATTTCAGATTTCTATCCAGTTTGCTTCTCCACCTCCAGTTCTGCCCTAGCACAGAAAAATGCTAAAAAATGATGACCCATCAGTTTTGCATCCTTGACGTTACCTGATCGGAACACAGCTCTGTTAAATTTAACAACTCCCTACAAAGCTGACACTGACTCCCCACAAGGTAGGCATTCATGTCCCAGAAGATCACAGTGCTGCTGCGCTGCTACCGAGCTAGTCAACAGTAACCTACCCACACCTTATGGATCACTACCAGCTGGCAGACCACAGCCTAGAAACCACGGTAAATTGCTACTTTTTTGTGTGTGTGTGTTCTTGTTTATTTCTTCTGGAATCAAACCCCTACATGATCTGCAACTAATGCAGTCAGTAAGATCTATGCAGAAAGACTAAGAGGATCGAGTTCACACAAAAGCTTTACGAAACATAGCGTGTTCTTACCCTGTGAGCCCACCACGCAGTTCAGAGCGTAACCGTTCACAAGTATGCTCTCTTTCTGGCTGCGGCCATGTGCCTTCAAAACATTAACCGAGTTGATTGGATACCGAGCCTGACCCTTCTGGTCTGTGTATTTAACTGCCAGTGCAGCATCCACCACCATATTAGCAAAGAAATCACCATCACTAAAGTGCTGTTAAGGTTAAACTGAAGAAAAAACCCAAATGTTATGCTTAAGGGAAAAAAAAAAAAAAGAATCACTGAAGGTGCCCAAACTAAGAGTCAAAAAAAGAACTCCAGAAAGGCATGCAAGTACCAGCCTTCTTGACCATTGCCTTAAAGTAAGGAGAAATTCTTAAAGCTGAACCCAGTGGTAAGAAAATTAGGACAGGCTAGTGTGACACTTGCACAAAATCTAAAAATGCTTTTTTTTTTTCTGTGACTATGGAGCAAAACACAACCTTCTCCCCTTTAGTTTCACTCCCTAGGGAACTTGACTTCTGCAATGCAGTCTTCCATTCACACAATTCCTTATGTAGTCTTACTAACATGCAATCTAGGAAACAACACACTGTTAAAGCTGCTAGGTGCCTAACCAGAGTTAAATAAACTGGAAGAATCTGAACATGTTTTCCTGTGCTGGTATCTGAAACATTTTTA